GGGGGGTTGGGTGGGGGTGGAGGGGACCGGGGTGTTTGGAAGGGTGCGCAGCGGTTGGAGTGTGGTGGGACTGAGGAGTGTAGGCGGGGGAGGGGGCGAGGCTGCATGAGTTCGAGTGGCTGGCTCGGGCGGCCGCGAGGCCAGGCGATTGGCAGGGGCGGCCGCGGGCGGGGGCGGCCGACCAGGCGCTACCCTTTGGGGGAGGGTGATCGCGGCTGGATTGCGGGCGCGGGTGAGCGGCGGCTACGCACCTTCACATCTGTTGGTATCGTCTCCTTCTCATTCTGCAGGCCGTCCCTAGGCCCCACCTCGACGATTTTGACGCTGGCCGGCAGCGGCCGCCCCTGGAACGCCGGCTGCACGGCAGCATGTGCAGGCCGCACGACGTGGCACGGAACGCAAGCGTCGGTGCGAGGCGTTTTATATTTGCGAGCTGCCAAGCGCCCGTGCATGCGTTAATTTGGCTAGTACATCTGTCGGGGTATATGCCCCGTGTGCTCAAAACTCACCGCGTTCGCAGACGCGAATTGGCGAGCGCACGGGCTGATTGTGCGCGACGCGCCGTGTGCGTTTGCGCTGGTGCTGCCGCCAGCACCGCACCGCCACGGGGTGGCGCTCAGCAAGGCCTGACATAAGGGTGTGCCTATTTGCCAAGCCTTAAAGTCCGTAAGCAGCGCTTCAGATGAGCCAACAGCGAGCCTGGCAAGCACGCGGGCCATAGCGTTGGCTGCTTGAACTTGAGCTTTGATAACTATATGGTTTGTATATGTTGACAGAGTCAGCAGCGTAGGGTCCTAGATCGATGCAGGACTGCCGGAAGCCAAGTGGCCCGTGCGCCCGTCGATTGTGCGTCTATGGTTGTGAGATAGTTATGATTTTATATAAGAAGTGAGGAACTGACCCATAGCCTCTCGAGAGCAGGTGCCTCAACAGTTTCGCCCGTTTCGATATGATGTGGTCAACGCTTCAGGCTCTTGTGTCAGTGCAACACCGCGCCTGCCAGACTGTCGTGTGTTGCCCCGCCAAGCTGGGTGTATGTGAGGCTTGAGTAGGAGATGGAGCATGCGTTCCACCTTGACGCACCCCCGATCAGCCCCGAGGGCTTGCCATCCCGCGCCAGGAGCCACGCACATGCCACTGCCCAATCATGCGCCCGCCCCCCCTTGAGTCTGTCTGCATCAGCAACACAACGGCTGCGGAAGCAATACGAATGACACAGGTCTGGTTACTATGAAACTCGAAGATCCTATCCACGGGCGACCTCTAAAGCACCCGGGCGCCCACACACCATGCCGCGTCCGCGCCTGCCTAATGCTGCCGCGCCGTCACCCCGCCAGCCACTCGGACGCCCTTTCAGGCGGCACGTCCAGGAAAATCGACACCGCCTTGCCCACCCGCGGCCGCTCCTTTGTCGCCGCCAGCTGGGACTGCGGTCACCAGGTAGGGGGGGTTATGGGG